CATAGAGAAAAATGCTATAGGTTCCCATGTTTGTTGAGACAACTGCATAAGTGTGCCGCCGATTGCGACGTCTGAGGCATCTACCCAGATGCTTAGCTGGGCTCCGGGAATAGGGTGTCTCAAAAGGGTAGCCTGAGCAATGGCATTTTTGGCAGCAATAAAGGCTTGTTCAGCATTCTCGTTCCAATTTAATTGTGGGGATGAATCCTGAACACGAGAACGAGATTTCTTTTTATTAATATAGCCTTCTAACAATTTTATTAAAGGAGAAAGAATATGTGCTGCTTTAGGTATGAAACATCTATAAAAGTTAAACATGCCTAAAAATCGGCGAAGCTGAGTGAGAGTGGTAGGTTGAGGAAAATCTAAAATACATTTGACTTTGTCAGGAAGAGGTTCAATTCCGTTTTCACTAAGGTGAAAACCTAAGAAATCAATAGATGTTTGACCAAAGGTGCATTTTGAAACATTTATGCAAAGTCCATATTCCTGAAGTTTGGAAAATAAAGCTTTCAAATGCCTGCAATGTTCCTCAGAATCTTTAGAGGCTATGAGCAAGTCATCGACAAAAGCGTAAACGCCTTCTAAATCCCGCGTGACTTCATCTATAAAACGTTGAAAAGTCGCAGATGCATTGCATAAGCCGAATTGCATACGGGTACTTTCGAATAAACCGAATGGTGTGCATATGGCGGTTTTGTGGATGTCGGCTGGGTTAATTGGTATTTGATGGTATGCCTTAATCAGGTCGACATGACTAAAAATTTTAGTACCGTGCAATGCAGCAGTAAAATCGGCTAAACATGGAATAGGGTATTTGTCTTTTATTGTTTGAGCGTTCAATGCTCGATAATCTCCTACAGGTCTCCATTCCAGACTTCCCTTTTTTGGAACCATGTGAAGTGGGGATGCATAATTGCTGCTCGAAGGTCTCAAATGCCCCAATTGCATCATAGTTTGAAATTCTTGTTTTGCTATTTTTAAGCGATCTGGAGCTAACCGACGAGGTTTTGCAACCACAGGTGGACCTTTAGTTATGATATAATGAACGGTGTTATGTTTAACAGGTTGGTTAGGATCTGGTAATCTAGTAACTGAAGGAAATTCTTTTAAAATTTTGTGATATGGTGTATCACTAAATACAGTTTTTACTGAATAAATGCTTGCATTTTTCACGCAACCGACGGTTTTAAAATGCGTTTTTAAATCTTTGAGACATTTGTTTCTGAGATCAGGCACCAATTCAAAGAAATGGAGAAAATCTGCTCCAAGAATGGGTGTACTAACATTTGCTATAAGAAAAGTCCATGTAAACTGTCGTCTTAATTTGAAATCCAAAGAAAGTGTTTTTTGACCATAAACATGAATAGTAGAAGAATTAGCAGCGAAAAGTGTGTTTGTTGGGACGAATTCCGTTTTTGAGAATTATTTGCTGGAAGTAAGGACACGTCAGAGCCGGTATCGACCAAGAATGAAAGTTTGTTTTGTTCTACGGTCACGAACGAACAGGCGACGTGAAACTTGAGGCAAAGAATAAGTCGCCTCTATTCTTTGCTGGTTTCGTTTCCCTGCCATGAACAAGGTTTTGTACATTTGTCATCTCTACACTTTTTCCCAAAACGTCTATGATACCAGCAAATAGAATAATCTCTCCTTTTTGGAATTGCTTCTTTCCTTATTGCGATCTCCGCGATTTGGCGAGCGACCACGAGAAAGAGAAATGCGATCAATACGTTTGTTTAATTTTTCTATTTGTTTAAATAATTTATCCTCAAGAGACTGATCGACTGTGCGAGAAACGGCACAAGTCCCTGGGGTTGGATTTACTTCTAAAATTCTGTCGGGCAATTTCTGCAGCTTTATCTACAGTTAAATTGGAAACCGCTGCCAAAATAGACTGAACAGTCGAAGGCAAACGTTGAAGGAATAATTCTAACATTAAGTTATCAGGAACATTTAAAGATTCTGCTCGACGTTTCATATTTCTAAGCAAATCGGAAGGTTTTCGAGAGCCTAATTCTTCTCCAGATAATAATTGGCGAATTTCTTGCTGAGAAGATTCTCCTGAACGATTTATTAACTCAGTTTTAAGCTTTGCATATGGATCAATAGGGTCTGGTTTCATAAGTAAATCCCGTACTATTGATGCGATATCTGGAGGAAGATGAGAAACTACATAATTATATTTAGTAATGGATTCTGTGATAGGTTTGGGGGTGGCAAGAGCAAAGGTACTTTCACACATAATAAACCATAAAGATGGGTCTGATCGGTTATAAACCGGAATTTGGACGGCATGAACATCAGACATTGTGCAAGGTTTTTAAGCCAAAATAAAAGGAAAAATTTAACTAAAGAAAATGAAATTAAATGATAAGTAGAAAACAGAATTATAAAATGATCTATAATTACTACTCATCTGTGATCCGGAGGACGAAAACCGATGTAATCCATTACTTCTGGTTTGGAGATCTTGAGTGATGGCTTGTAGTCAAAACCGAAAGTGCTTGAGAACTGTTCATACGATTTAACACAGTCCGGGTTACCATTATGGAGATTTCCGGTTATGTTTTTACCACCAATCCTCGAATTCCATATCACAGATTATGTTCTTACTGCATTAATATAATATTAACAAGACATAGTGCACAATAAAAATTAAGCTTTATTTAGGAACTTCGCGCACACTGCCCGACAGCCTGCCTGTTTCGCTCTGCTCGCTACTCGTAAGAAACTTCTCCTCTAGGGTTGCCACACTTATCGGAGGGCGCAAGGCGCGCTCCTTATCGCCATCCCACACACTGTTTGCATATCATTACATTTCGTCCATATCTATGTTGATAGAAAAAACTGAATCATAATATTAAATGATGAGAAATATGCCCAAGGAAATTGCAATACAGTTTAACGAATTAAATGGATGTATAATAGAAATATAAAATTGCATGTTTCCTACAGGGACTTTTCATTAAGAAATAAGAGCTAAAAATTCAATAATAGTGGACAGCATGCAGTTGTCATGAAAAATTTCATTCATAAACAGTTTATGAGCACTGGGTGAGACAGTTTTGAGGAATAATAAGTAAGAAAGTTTTCTCATCATCATTATTCGAAGACATTTTTTTCATATTTTGTACTTGGATCTGTTTGGGGAAGTGACTGATTTTGCCATCAGTAAAAGTTATCCTGCTTAAAACAGTTCATTATTGTGTTTTCTGAAACATGGTTTCAAAATATGTATTTAGAAGATGCAGAAAATGCACCAAGGAGGTTAGTCCTTATTAATTCATTTGCACTTTCATCCAAATTTTCCACATTATGAAGAATACAGCTCACCTCACGAAGATCATATTCTTTCATCGCTCTATAAAAATTCCTTAATCGCAAACTGGAATAATACAGATATCATGTTTTTTTCTGCAAGGAATAAAATTCCAAATTTTCCTCATTATGAAGAATACAGCTCACCTCACGAAGATCATATTCTTTCATCGCTCTGTAATAAATCTCTGATCACAAACTTGAATAGTATATATCATGTTTTCTGCAAGGAATAAAACTTCAGCATACTTTATGGATTATGTTTTGTGACATGCAGTTGTGAATCAGATCAAAGGTAAAATTCTTTTCATCATACAGTTTCTAAATTCATTCACTAAAAATTGCTGTCATCATCTACACCACATGTTATTTTTTCCCCAATTTCATATTGATCAAGGAAAAAAATCAAATACATTGCAATATTTTGCTCACATTAAATGACATAATAATTACAGTAAACGACTAGGCAATTTCCGATGTTTTTGTACAAGTGCCGATGGAACATTGACATTTTAATACGCTTAAAGACTCGCCAAATATTAAAAGAAATTTTGATTTCAGAGGCAGAAAAAATTTTAAAAATTATCACATCTGAAGTTTGGTATCATTCACTTCACAAATGATGTTAAATTATGCGAAAGAACAGTCATTTTACGATTAACTAAATTATCAACATAAAAAATGGCGTTTCAAAATTCAGTATTAAAATAGTATTTTTTATAATTAAACAGTTTTCAGTGCTTTCGTAAGAGGAAAAAAAAACTCAGTTTTGTATCCCTGATGATAATAGTTTTAAATCAATATGCACAAAATTTTATTCATACCACTAAAAAAATTCATATGAATTGCTAACAAAGATATTAAAAATTGAGATTGTTTTGTTCTTTTATTTATAATATGTTTAGCAGGAAATAAATGTTAATTCATAGAACACTGCAATGGAAGTTCTCACATGTTCCTATCAAACTTTTATCAGTGATTTTAACTGAATTATCACCAAGAAGAAATTTATTAATAAGCGAACACTACAACAACGAATATCTAAGATATTCTTTGACACAACAACGTTTGCACCCCAACACGAAATCTTCGATGTTTGTTTACATTCGCATGGTAATTTATTAATCTTTGCCATAATTCACCGCGAAACATGATAAGAAGCCAAATATAGTAAGCCAGCCCTAAGACCGTGACGTCACGGTAAACTTTTTTCCGTACACCTTTGGCGTGTGTCTGTACATAATTGTGACGGACTACGACATATCTATGTACCAATTGCCACAAAATAAATTACTGTGAGAAAATAACGAGAACATGAATTATTTTTGAAACAGAAAAGATCTCAGGGCAGTATTAAGCAATTAAAATTCAGTAATATAATGAATATAAATTACTAATAACGATATGAAAATTATTTTTACTTTATGCAAATTAGAAATAATAGTCTCAAATCTAAGGTCAACACTATTATTCTTAAGTCTTTGATTGAAAAGCTATAAAGCTGCCGCTATGAATACTATTAAAAATAGTAATTACTAACTGTGTCATATAACGTAATATAAATACCGGAAAATGGATTAATTAATTTAATTGATACAAGATTGAAAACAAGATATGCAAATTAAGAGATGATGGTTGGCAACTATTTTTCACATGCTGTGATTTAGTTTCGGTTTCTTTTCTTTAGGTGGTACGTGTGAATCGGTAGTATGTGCTGCGAATTCTAGGTTTGGAGATATGTCCATGCCAGTTGATTTAACCTAAATAATTAAGCATTTCTCTTCAGAATGGATGACGAAATCTGTTCTAAAGTTAAAGCTGTTGCTTTAAAAAGTGAAAGAAATTCTGCGAAAAGGATAAATACTTGCGGGCGCTACAATAAGGGAAATTCCCCAAGATATGTTAATACTCCAGTAAAGCTGAATGAAAAATTGGTTAATGATAACAGAGAGAAGAGAGATGTTACGCAAAGACGATTTGCAAGAACCGACCACTCCAATTCATTTATGCAAGTAAGTAATTTTCAAAATCGTTATTCTTTGAATTTTTTAGCAAGTACTAATATGAATGGAAATAAAACAGGGTGTTCTAAAAAAAATACCAATAAAGAATGGATGAATATTGATATGAATAGAAATCGGTCAGAATTTGGGGTGAAACATCAGGCTGAGGGTCTACCAATGAGTAATGTGAACAGAAGTAATGCAGTAAGAACTAATACTTTGAAAGACATGAACACGCAGTTGCATGGTTTTCAAACTAGAAATAAGTTTCCTCCGAAGGATGTAGAAAAACAATTACCAAGTATTAAAACAGATAGAATGTCTGTATGTCAGGTGAAGGAAGATAAAAAGCTTACTACATTGACATCTTTAAAAATGCTTTTGGAGAAAGATGAAACTGAGATATTGTTCATGCTTGTCATGGACAGAAGTGGATTTAAGTATACTCTATCACAAGATAAATTTGAGAGAGAAATGATGACTACCATTCTCAATTTGCTAGGTAAAGCTTGTAGAGCTAGTCAGCAAAAACTTTTGCAATCTCTTATTCATGATGTAATGAACAATCAGCATTTCCTCCTTCAGGTGCAGCATTATTTACTGTATTTTCAGAAAAATAGTTTGCATTCGTATGAAATAGCATCTTTTCAGAGTATTATAGATCTACTTAAGAAATTTCAAGAAACTGAATTGTCTAATTCTACTGATACTGTTCTTATTCTTTTACCTATTCTGCAGCTTACCTGTGATGTTATTGCAAAAAAGGGGTTTAAAACAGCAGATTTGAAGATATCTTTGTTAGAAATTGAAAATGGAAAAGATCTTTTCTTACATCAATTTAAAATGGGTAAAAAAAATGAATCAGAAGTTAAATCTCAACAAAATCAGCCACCAGAAGACTTTCGGAGTTTATCAATATTACCAACTGTTGGTGACCTTCAAGAAACAAAAGTATTTTTGAGGCCTAATATTGTACAAGGGAAGTATGCAGATGTTGAGCATTATTTAGATGTACAGTTTCGGCTTTTAAGAGAAGACTACGTTCGTCCTTTAAGAAATGGTATTCAACAGTATATGTACCTCTCACTAAGTAGTCAAGCAGCAAGACCAAATTTGAAAGCATTACAAGATGTTAGAATATATTATAATTTCCAGTTACTTTATCCTTGCTTAGATAGAAGTGGTTTGGTTTATATGGCAAGTTTTGATGTAACACCATTCCGTAATATCAATTGGGAGAACAGTAAAAGATTATTGACCGGTTCTCTAATATGCTTTTCTGATAATAACTTTGAAACTCTACATTTAGCATCTGTAACAAGCCGAGATGCAAAATTACTCAAACAAGGACATTTACTCATCAAGTTTGAAAGTGTTTCTTCAGACATTTTAAATTTTGAATCTTTAAGGTATTTTATCATGGTTGAAACTCAAGCATATTTTGAAGCGTATCGTCATAACCTTAGTGCTTTAAGAGAGATGAATGAAGTAAATTTTCCTTTCCAGAAATATATAGTGAAGACAGAAAATGTAATAAAAGCACCAAATTATTTAAAGTCTGGTACAATGTATGATATGACACCTTTTGTTGATAAGCTATCCCGTTTTAAAATAATGGTACCTGTCTTGAATTATAAATTGTGGCCCTCAGAAGAGGAATTTGGCTTAGACAAATCGCAGTATTTAGCATTAAAATCAGCTCTTGCAAAAGAATTATGTATAATTCAAGGTCCACCTGGAACTGGTAAAACGTTTATCGGTTTAAAGATAGCTGAAATTTTGCTTCATAATAAAAGGAATCTCCGAGGATCCCCGATTCTTGTTGTGTGTTACACAAATCATGCATTGGATCAATTTTTAGAAGGAATTTTAAACTATTCAGAATCTGTAGGTAGAGTAGGAGGCAGTTGCACCAATAAGGAACTTGCAAAATATCAATTAAATAATTTGCGTATGAAAGCAAGAAAATTAAAATCTATACCTGGTCATGTGAGATGTAATATTGCAGAGAAATGCCAGCGTTTAAGTGTGATGACAGAAAGAATAGAATTGAAAAGTAAAACATTTCATGCCTGTTTTAATAATGTACTGGATGATGTTTATCTTTTCCATGTTATGAGTCGTCCTCATTACAAGACATTGGTATATGAATGTGTGAATAATGGTGCCATCCGTGGAAAAACTGTGAAGCATTGGCTTGGGATAACTGAAAATTTTAGTGAAACATGCACTACCAAAGATAATCAGGGGGAAAATGATGATAAGTGTGCAAAATTTATCTTAGTCGAAAAAAAAGAAGCATTTAACAATACTGAAGAAAACGAGAGTGATGTGGCTAATATTGAAGCACTGAGAAATATTGATGACCATGATGATTTAATAAACATAAATATTAAAAGAAATGCTGCAACTGGAAATTCTAAAAGAAGTGACTTTGTTGAAGGAGAATATGAAAATGACTTGACTGAAGGTGAATGGAAGGTATGTGTTGGCAAAAAGAGTAAAGCTTATATCAGGAAAAAGTTAAAATCAACAAGAGCAATGACGCCTAATCAAGTGAATGCAGTGAGAAATGTGTGGGATTTATCACTGGATGAGAGATGGTCATTATACATGTATTGGGTTCAGTGTTATATGAAACATCTGAATACCGAAATTGAACATGATCAAAAATGTTTATTTGATACACATGCTGAGTTGCAGGAGATACGAAATGAAGAGAATGTGTTTGTCTTGCGTAAATGTGATGTTGTCGGAATGACTACAACAGGTGCTGCTAAATACAGAGATATTTTAAAAAGGCTGAATCCTCAGATTGTGATATTTGAGGAAGCTGCAGAAGTTCTTGAAGCACATGTTGTAACATCCTTGATGAAAGATACTGAGCATGTTATACTCATTGGTGATCATCAACAGCTGCGTCCAAACCCAACAGTATATGAACTTGCTAAAAGATTTCATTTTGATGTTTCGTTATATGAAAGAATGATAAAAAATGGAATTGAATACCATCAGCTGACTATTCAACATCGTATGCGTCCATGTATTGCTAGTTTGTTAACACCTCATATTTATATGGATCTTATAAATCATAAATCAGTAACTCAATATGAAAATATCAAAGGTATAAATGGTAATCTTTATTTTGTAAATCACAGTTATTTTGAATCATCAGAAAATGAACTTAAGTCTCATGCAAATGAACATGAAGCTATGTTTGTTGTAGAACTATGTAAATATTTAATTTTACAAGGTTATGATACATCACAAATTACAGTGCTTACTACCTATAATGGGCAGTTAATAAAGTTGAAGCAGATGTTGAAGTTAAAAGGTGTAACAGGAGTTAGAGCAACAGTTGTCGATAACTTTCAAGGAGAAGAAAATGATATTGTTATTATTTCTTTTGTAAGAAGCAATGAAGATGGCAGCATTGGCTTTTTGAAGGTAGCAAATAGAGTGTGTGTAGCTCTTTCACGTGCTAAAAAAGGTTTATACTGTATTGGAAATTTCAAATTTTTATCTGAAACCTGTAATCTATGGAAAAAAATCTTATGTAAACTTGAAGTACAGAATTGTATTGGTGAGTCACTTAGTCTGTGTTGTCAGAAGCATCCAGAAAATACTGTATATGCATCATCTTGGTCAGACTTTGAAAAGGTTCCAGACGGTGGCTGTCTAATTCCTTGTGAAAAATTGTTGACTTGTGGTCATGTATGTTCTCGGAAATGTCATCCTGTTGATCTGGATCACAAAGAATATAAATGTTTAGAACAATGTCAGAAAATCATATGTGAAAATAATCACAGATGTCCTGGATTATGCTATGAAGAATGTAAATCTTGTAAAGTGCCTGTTCTAAAAATTGTCCCAAAATGTGGGCATGAAATAACTGTTCCTTGTTATGATAATGGACATCAATGTATTCTACCGTGTGAAAAAAAATGCCCTTGTGGTCATCAGTGTGCTAATATATGTGGATATCCATGTACAAAAGAATGTGAGCAAATGGTGTTTGTTAATTCTCCATGTGGCCATCCAGTCAGTGTGAAATGTTATGAAAAATCAGATTTAAGCAAAGTTCTAAAAGCATGTAAAATTCGGTGCAATGTTACATTGAAGTGTGGTCATATTTGTAATGGCAGTTGTGGGAAATGTTTCGTATTTGAAAATGGATTTTTGCGAGAAAATCATGTACCTTGTTCTGCAAAATGTGAAAAACGTTTGAAATGTGGTCATATTTGTAATATTATTTGTGGAAAAAACTGTGAGTCATGTAAATTTCTTATTAGAAAAAAATATCCATGTGGTCATGAGAAAAAAGTAGAATGTTATTTATCAGATAAAAGTGATTGCTATGAGAAGTGTATAGAAATCTTGGAATGTGGTCATGTATGTTCTGGAAATTGTTATAAATGTACATATGGAGCTGCACATATACAATGTAAAAATCAAGTGAAAGTAGTCATGAATTGTGGACATGAAGTGTATATGAATTGTTCTCAGAATTTACCAAAATGTGAAAATTCCTGTATTAAGGTTTTACCATGTGGCCATAAATGTCTTGAAAAATGTTCTGACCCATGTAATGAAAAGTGTGAAATAGTTGTTATACAGAGAATGCTATGTGGCCATTTCCAATCCATTAAGTGCTTTGCAGCAAAAGATGTACCCTGTGAAGTATGTGTTAATTTAAACCGTAAATCATTTCGATTTTATGAGGAGGAGGATATAAATGTATTTTCTGATGATGATATCTTTAATCTTGATAGTTCAACTGAAGATGATGCATTTTTGTACTAAGTAGAACAGTTAAGATTTTAAAAGCTAACTGGAAATATTTTACCAATATTAATTTTTTTAGTTATGTAATTTTTTAACTTTAAATACTGCATTCATATTAGATATTTAATAAAATTAACATTAAATTTAGTACTGTGGAATTTATTTTGTATGTTTTTCTTATTTTACCTTTTTTTTTCCATTTTGACAGTTCTTGAATGTTTGATTTGTGCAAAAGTAAGATTCAACCTTTTAATAATTCTTACATGTGCTGTTAATCTAAGTATGTTGTATTATGTACTTTAAATTTCTACATTTCAGGGGTGTAGCTATAGGGGGGCATCTGTCCCCGGGCGCAGAATCCAAGGAGTGCCAAACTGATGTTATGACATTTTAGAATTAAATGTTTTCCATCCTTGGCAAGCAGTAGGGGGCGCAAAATCTTTAGTTATCCCTGGGCGCTGAAAACCCTAGCTACGACTCTGGTACATTTTCAGTAAATTTTAATTTTGAGAATGAAAGTGATTCGCCAGTATAAAGCAAAAGTAAGATAAATTGCAAATATTATGAAATTTTTAGTTTAATGAAATTTTCTGAAAAATTAGTGTACAGTTTAGAAGGAATGTTAAATATTTCTAATTTCATGCACTTTTATCATAATATTTCAGTTAAATGCGGTTCAATTTTTTAACTAAGTAGAATCTTTACATAAAGCATAGTCAAAAATAAGTTTTTTTTTTTTTTTTTAATGTCACTATTAAGATATGCAATAAAGGAAAGATAGTTTGTCAAGCATGGGAATTTAGTCTTCATTATTCAGCAATATATTATTGTGTGCCATTCCTTAAGAAGAAAGAAAAATGAAGTGTGGATACAATACGAAACCCACAATCCGGACCTCCAAACCACCAACCATGAAATAAATAACAAACAAAAAATTTGTCCTTTTTGCTTGCAAAATCTAGAAGTGGAGATTATAATATTCAACAAAAAGAAACAGATGTGCAGTAAATGTGTTTCTTCTCCTAGTTAAATGAGATTTCCATATGTCACTTTTCTAACACCTGGTGCTAAAGAGTCCCATCATAACCGATAGCAGTATACTGATTTATGATGGACAAAGTCAGGCTTTCAGTCCTTGAGTGGTTCTGCAGGAGAGGGAGAGCCGTTGCAATCTCTGTAGGACCTAAATTCTGCCTTAATTTTCGCTACTCGGTACTCTTCTAAATTTCAAAATTCTTGCCGTCCAGTACGGAAACACAAGTGTCAGTCTTATTGGGAAAAGGGGTAGCATTCTTCTATCTGATGTAGTTAAGCAAAGCCCCATTGTTTCCATCTTTAGAATTGGGTCAGTCCATAAATTTGTGTGAATTTTTTTGGTAAAGTTTTAAATATAAAAAAACACAATTTTAATCAATTATATATTTTTCTCCATTATCTACAACATTTTGCCATCTTACATGTAGCTTTTTTATGCCATTGCTGTAGAAAGACTCTGTTTTTTATGCAAAAAAACTTGAAAGTTAATTGTGTACATCCTGTTTAGAATTTAATTTTTTTCCCGGTAAAAATAATTTCAAGGCCCAAAATAAGTGAAAATCACTTGGGGCAATATCTGGGGAGTAAGCAGAATGTGACAAAAGCTCCCAATTAAATTCACTAATTTTTTTGCAGCGTTGTTCGAGCCGTGTGTCGTGTAGCGTTATCATGATGAAACAACACTTTGTTGATATTTACCAATCGTGGGCGTTTTTTGATCAATTCCGAGTTTAGACAGCAAAGTTGTTCACTATAAACTTCTGAATTAATCATTTGATTTGGTTCTAACAGTTCAAAACGTCCTGAACGGGGTTCATCAATGCTGCTTTTTCCAACTTTAAATTTTTTAAACCATTTCTGAGCAGTAATTACACTAATAGTGTGTTCACCATGTACTACACTATTAATTTTTATTGCTGCAAACCTGGCAGATTCACCACACGAAATTAAAAAATGTAGCACAGCACATTTGTACTGATTATCTATATTCATCTTCTATGGGTACTAAAATGCGTTCGATATTTATGAAAGTTGGTGATGAACTGAATAATATGTTACTCAAACGATGACAAGTTTCAACAGGTTCAAAATTGTATTGTTTTAGTAAATGCATCAAAGTGAATTCCATGCATACTCGTAATGCACACGAACTTATGGACTGACCCGATAATTGCTTAAAATGCATGAACTATGAATTTTTGTCAAATTCATATATATATATATTCAATATAGTTATAACAATACTTACAATTTTTATACTTATAGATTTTTATATTTTTTTGTTTTGGATATTTAATAAACAAGTTGTGTAAATAAAATAAATTTTTTTGTAATACAGTCAAAAGTCGTTAATCCGGACTCATCGGGACTTCGGCGATTCCAGATTATCGATTTTTCCGGATTATAGATCATCAGTTTAAATCTAGTAAGATGGCATGCAGAAATTATAAAATTAAAAATATGAAACTGTAATTTATGAAATAAAGAACAATTATGATCTAAAGGGTATCAAAATTTACAAAAAAAAGAGCTTAATATTTATTTGTTTACTTTATTATACATTTCTTTCAATGTAAGTTGTTTAAGTTGCTTCGTTTTTTTATGTGATAATACTTTCTCTTTAATTCTATAAACAGACATAATTTCTTGTTCAGTTACAAAGTTTCGCTGTTCAAGTGCTATAAATGCTGTGACGAGAATATCGACTAATTTGTGAATCAAAATTTTTTCGTTTTCAATAACCTCTTTGTCACTTTCTTTGCTATCGGAAGCGAATTATAATGACGAGGAATTTGATTTAAATCATATCAAAGACGGAGTACATCAAGATGAAATACTACATTTAGTAAGGAATTATAAGCCAAATAAAATAAAAACATCTGCATGTATAACGGACGGTATAAGCTAAGCTAAAATTATCTAAATCAGTTAATGTTGCAGATTGCGTTGTTCCTTAATCTTTTAATTGCATCCGGCTTATTATATTTTGCAGACTGTTAGAGCAATTTTATAAAAGTAAGCTTGAACTTTCGATTACATCAAACAGAATTTCTGATATATATATTTGCTAATATGTAAAGGATCTAAAGAGAAAGTATGTTTCGAAATCCGAAATCTGTTTATCAATTTCACGCGGCTCAGCGGGGGGGAACGCAGCGGCGCGCAATGAATTGGAAGTTGATCTGTCAGAAGTATCCTTATCTTCAGGGCAGATGTTTTTATTTTATTTGGCTTATAATTCCTTACTAAATGTAGTATTTCATCTCAATGTACTCCGTCTTTGATATGATTTAAAACAAGTTCCTTGTCATTATAATTCGCTTCCGATAGTGAAGAAAGTGACAGAGGTTATTGAAAACAAAAAAATTTCAATTGACAAATTAGTCGGTATTCTCAACACAGCAATTTTAGGACTTGAACAGCGGAACTTTATAACTAAACAAGAAATTATGTATGTTTAATAGAATTAAAGAGAAAGTATTATCACATGAAACGAAGCAACTTAAAGAACTTGCATTGAAAGAAATGTTCAATAAAGTAAACAAATAAGTATTAAGCTTTTCCTCTTTGTAAATTTTGATACCCTTTAGATCAGAATTGTTCTTTATTTCATAAATTACGGTTTCATATTTTTAATTCTGTAATTTCTGCATGCCATCTTACCAGATTTAAACTGATGATCTATAATCCGGAAAAATCGATAATCCGGAATCGCCGAAGTCCCGACGAGTCCGGATTAACGACTTTTTACTGTAATTGTGTGAAAGCATAAAAGAAAGTGAAGTTATTTTCCTCAGTAATACTGCATTCATTCCAATACTTTTAATTAACTAATTGTAATATTGAGAAATTAATTATACCATTTTTGTTCAAATATCAATAACAGTCTTTACTCTTTTTGCACTGACACCAGAGTCTATTGAAATAATAGGCATATGTAGTAGTTTAACAATGCTTTTTAAGAATATTATACCAAATTTTTAAAAATGTATCAATCACCCATAATGGTATCTTCTTTGTGAGCCAATCTACCTATAATCATAATTGCCTACCATACACTCAAAATTTCATTGTGTCTCTAAGAAAAATTTTTATGAGTTAAATTATGCTGGAATTAGTGGTTTTTTTCTTAATGCACAGTTTAAACTTGCATAAATCATATTCTTTTAAGCGTAATTCTTAGAATAATTAATATAATGGAGCAATGCAAACGTTCAAATGGGTGTATTTGCCAACATTTTACATAATTATGGCATTACAAAGAGAATGGCTGTAGATAACTCATCAAGTAAAGCCAAGGAGAAAAAGAAGAGATAATACTATTAGATGAGGGAATTAATAATCATAACAACATAAATGTGAAAAAGGAACTAATTTCGAGAGATACAGTGTTCTGTGTCACAGACAAAAGATTTGATATCTAACTGATGACAATTTCCATCCTTTAATCATAGCTGTAGAAATGTACAACATTCTTCAATTAATTTTAAAAACAAGTATTTATTACTTTCTTTGATATTGAATGTCTAACTTGGCAAGTTAATTTCTAGTTGGAGAAGTCAAATTTTTTTAACATAATTTATTGACAATTAAAACTTGCCAAGTTAGAAGTCCAATATCAAAGAAAGTAATACTTGAGTAAAAGTATAGTTTAGGGTACCCTTGGCGAAACTTAACGATTTTGGGCGGTACATGGATACCGATTTTGTGCAAATTCTTTGACTCGTTATTTTGGCTTGCGAAGTGGAAGTCAAAATAACAAGACAAACAATTGCACAAACTCGGTATCCATGTACACATCGACTTATTTTCACTTAAAAAAAAAAATTCCCGAATTGCACAAAAGTGGCATTGCGCACTCCTTTGACTTTATCCATGTACACATCGACCTATTTTCACTTAAAAAAAATCCTCGAATTGCACAAAAATGGCATCGCACACTCTTTTAACTTTAGTAGCCATGTACACGTCGACCTATTTTTACTTTAAAAAAAAAATCCCGAAATTGCACAAACTTGCATTGCGCACTCCCTTTACTTTGTCTATGTACACATTGATATATTTTCACTTAAAACGTCAAAGGAGCACCAAATTCTACAATATAGGCAAAC